GTCTGTGTCATCTTTCCAAACGCACAACCCGGATCATGAATGTGAGCCACAGGCTGGCACGTGCACACCCACGCAGTGACGTCCACACGCACGAACACACAAGAGGCAGAGGAGGAGAGATGAAGAGACCCTGAGCCCTGAGAGGTGCATAAAAGAGGAAATAAGAGCAGGAGTGAGAGAATGGCACGCACAGCTTGGCATTTAAACAGAGGATTTCCTCTCTGTACCTCGTCTTCCCTCCGCTCTTTCTGTTTACATAAGGAGAGACGACTTCACATAGCTTGAGAGGATGAGAGTCCAGGAGTGTATTTGTTTGTGTGTGTGTGTGTGTGTGTGTGTGTGTGTGTGTGTGTGTGTGTGCTCTTTCCACTAATGCAGGACAGTAACAGCCATCATATATTAAAAAAAAAAAGTCTTTATTTAAAAGTCTCTATCTTAATTGTGTGTGTGAGTCAATTAAATGTTTTTTTAAAAAGCTTGAAAAAAACATCCCCTGCTGCTTCATGTAAATTCCTTCTTACAGTGTTTTGTTTATTTGGCACCAATCAAATTGAAGGAATAAAGTGAAACTGCTTAGGCGTTTCTGGAGCTACTAAACAATGTCTAAGCATTATCATCCTCTGTTGTACTCCGGTGTCAGCAGACTGTCTTCCTGTGGCATTTTAGCCAAAAAGGTGATGGATGTCCCTGGCCACCTCTTTGCTCCCTCGGGGGGAATTTTGTAAAACACTTAAGACACTATCAGAGTCAGCAGACCTGAGAGAAAACATATTATTTTCTTTTTTTTCTTACCTCAGGTATTCTTATCATTTCTGCCCTTCCTCTTTCTCCACCTTTTATCAGCCGTCTAATGTTTTAGAAAGCATAGCTTAAAGAAAAAGTTTCTAGTTCACTGGTTGTGGAGTATTGTCTTCATTGGCTTCATCACGCAGAATTAAAAAACAAGGATGGACAACATAACAAACAACATGGTTTTAAAAGACCTGGATATAGTTATTTAAGGAAGGAGGGGTTTGCAAAAGTGGCATAAAGAGGCCGAGCATTCAATATTAAAATGGCATTTGACAGAAATGACTTGCTTCTCACAATTTTGGTGGCTTTGTCTTTTTCTTTAAGGTTCAGGGGTTTGTGAGTGTCATCTAGCCCCTGCTAGTCCATACACTGTCCTACCTTTTTGTACTTTAGTTCCCTCGTGCAAGAGTGACAGTGCATTGAGTGATTACATTAGTCCAAGTGGAAGTGAACAAATACCGACATCGCTTGCACGACTTCTCGCTCATCGCTGCATCAAGTGTGTCCCTTCTCGAAAGCTCGTGGGACGTAAACTTTCTCTAGCAATGTACATAAATTTGTGCCAAGCAAGACTTTTTCTTTTGTTAGTATCTTAACTCTTGAAGGCACATATGAAAGAGGGATCCCATAAACTACAACCATAATATTCTGTCCACCACTGCATCATTTTTTACTTGTTTGTATTTCGGCAAATCACAATGGAGCTTCCAAATGAATTTCACGCTGATTTCCATAATGTTGAAAGTTTGACCCCCTTTCACTGTAAGATGACTGCCTAAGTTGTTGTTAGATCATTCAACACTCTCCTCCTGTAGGTTTGTATATACTGTCAATGGTGTGAAGGTTAGAAAAGGGTGATAGAACAACACAGAAGTTGTCCAAGTCTAGTTTTTTTACAAGTAAATTGCAAGTCATTCAGATGCCTTTAAATATTTTCCTCTCAAAACTGTTAATAACTGAGACTGACTTTATTCTGGGAATTCACCAGGTCAAAACATGACACACCTGAAAAGCTGTGTTTCACTGCCCTTTCTGATTAAAAGTGTTTGCACCACACCCAACCACACCGATGCTGGGTGTGGTTGGGTATAGTCACAAGTGTGCTCTGTTGCAGCTGTAGCCACACCCAGCAGTGATACTACACAGTGTACTAACACACCTTAGAGTACAGCTCTACATCACTGCAGCAACATGAGAATTTAATAGATCATTTTTTGGCCACTTGGGGTCACCAGAACAAGCTGTAGACACAATTCTGACATATGACCTTATAATGTTGATGTTGCAAATTGCAAACATGTTAGCAAGTAGTTGCCTTTTTACAGACATGAAGCAACATTAGCATTCATTTGGATTTGGGCTTCTGGACACCTGACAAATGCAAGTCTGATTTACACTCTCCTTTTCCCTTTTTTCTGGTTTCATCCATCGCAACTCCTGAGATAAATATGTGGCTCTTTAGCAGCCAAACGCTCCACTATGTTCACCTGCTGGTCGCTAGCTTTGGTCTTTGGTGCTGGGTCGGTGGTGTGCGACCCCGGTGGTCTACAGTCAATTTATAGAGCTTTTTGACTGAAGACTGCCTTCTGCTGAAACAAGGTTGATGAGAGCAGTGAGTGTGAACCTAAAAACCTAAGTTGCAACACTAAAACAAGTTATAGAGCTACAGTGTAAGTCTGAGTGGGTTTGGCAATACGAGTGACCATTTTCACATCACAGGTAGTCATTTGGTCAATTGTAAATAAAAAAACATTAATTAACGCAGCTTTAAATCTTGAATTAAGGTATTTAGGCATATGTTGGTGAAACTATGAGTGTTTGGAGCAAAGCTATACCTGCCTCCTTATTGTGTTCAGATATGTATTGACAAAGTGATGTTTAGAACATAGTAAGCATTTGGATAGACAGAAGAAAAGTGGATTATGCTGCGGGTGTGTGTTTGAGAAGTTTCTGCAGATGGTTTTACAGTTTTCTCTGCATTGAAAATTCATCACCATTTAAACCCTCGTAAATTAAAATAAACTCCATAATCTCAGTCTCTAAACTTTTTTTTTACAATAAGCTTTTGATGCAAATGTTTTATATTCAAAAGATGGATTTTGGGGCAGAGTATCTACCTTTAAAGTTAAACAAGTGCAGTGCAAACCTTGTTGAGTTGAGCTGCTGCATATAGAATTGATGGGAAAGTGTGTTTGGGGGAAAACAAAGCTAATAATAGTGCTCAAATACCTGCAGACCACAGCACTTGGGGGAGTCTCGAGGGGCTGCTGCTCAGATTGAGGGTTCCTCCTGAGTGTGTCTGTGTGTGTGTGTGTGTGTGTGTGTGTGTGTGTGTGTGTGTGTGTGTGTGTGTGTGTGTGTGTGTGTGTGTGTGTGTGGATGTGTGTGTGTGGTTTCAGGGAGGGGTGGTGGTGTTGGTGGTCAGTGTGCTGGGTCAGAATGCTGGCGAGGTACTTTCACAGAGTTTCAGAGACGCACTGATCGATAAATGCTTTAAATAGGGACACAAATACCTGCACACAGCATTAATCTCAATAGCTGGATCCTATTTAAGAAGGAAGCATTTTGCTGAGTAGATTGGCTCGATGGCAACCACACAGAGGTACAATAAGTGGTTGGAGGGGCCCAAACGCCACTCAGTGCCTTCCACAGTGTTAATAAGCAATTGCTCAGGAGGGAAATCCAGACCGCAAACGCACACAGACACACATAGAAACACACACACACATGATTTTTCCACACACACACACACACACACACCGCCCCAAGTTTTGGGTTATTTAGTTTTAGATAACTCTATTAATCTTCAGAGTGTAAAAGATAAATGATATAAGCTGACCATAAGTGATGCGTCTGAAAATGAGACCAATAAAATGAGCAATAAATAAGAAAATAAGGGTTTGAGCTGTTAACCTCCTCCAGAACCTTATGAGTCAAACCAATTACAGAACCTTTTTAATAAACTTGCTTTTATGATTAGTTGCAAAGCTGTTACCTCATCCTACAACAGCATAAAACAAAGCACTGGCCACAAAACACATTTATAATTTTCTTATTTACTTTCTTATTTAGCCTTACTAGTGGCTTTGTATGACAGTGTTGGTCAGTCCACCTTTTTTGTTCAAACTAAAATATCTCAACAACAACTGAATGGATTGCCTTGAAATTTTGTACAGATATTCGTGGTTTCCAGAGGATGAACCCCTCTGACTTTGGTGATCCCTCGACATTTTACTCTTGTACTACCACAAATTTGACATTTGTGTTTTTGAGTGAAATGTCTCAACAACTGTTGGATGAAAGAAAAACATTGTTGTTTCAGCACGTCTAGCAGCTGTAGAAATTATGACTGGAGCAAAGGATGGTGCAGACATTCATATCCCCTCAGGTCAAATATTCTGATCTTTAACCAAAATACCTGCAAGGAAACTAAAGACAGTCCCATCAGCTTCAGCGGCTGTTTGGTGCTAATAAGCAAGTTAAGATGGTGAACTAACATCAGAATGTTAGAGTAGTCATTGTAAGGCTGTTAGCATGCTGATGTTTGCACAGGACAGCTTGACAGGGCTGCTAGCACTGTGTAAACTTTCTCACTGGACCAGGGCTGACTTTCAAGCTATTTGTGATGTCACAAATCAAGCTCATAGGCCCCGCCCCTTAAAAATCAGAGAGCTCAGAGATGAATGTAAAAACATCCTTCTAGTGTCAAAACTCTGCACAGTGAAAACTCAAACATCCAACTGTAGGAACAAAAAGAAAAGCATATTTTTGAGTGGAGGGGGACTTTAAATTAAAACGTTCTGACAAATTAGATTTAATAGCAACATTAACTCACAGATATTTGTATGAGGAGAACAATTTCTAACCTTCTGATGTTTGATGAGCAATTTATAATGTTCCTCTCTTTTCCTTTTTTAATAAGCTTCTCCATCTTTTTAACATTATAGTTCAAGTTGTCACCTATTAATTGGGACAGAAATCAGGAGTGTGTTGACCTACACTAAATAAACTCTGTGTGTCTGTGTGTGTGTGTGTGTGTGTGTGTGTGTGTGTGTGTGTGTGTGTGTGTGTGTGTGTGTGTGTGTGTGTGTGTGTGTGCTGCCTCCAGGGGATTTGTGTCCATGCCCCGGCCGTGTGTAGTGGACAGCTTGCGGCTGGATTGATAGAGTGACGTCAGCGCGCCGCTACCTCTCCCCGAGGGCAGGATTAGTCGGGAGCAGCAGAGACAGCGCTCCGGTAATCTCCCGGTAACAAATGGGGGGAGACGGGCACGTTCAGGACTGCCGGTAACTGAGTGATACCGGAGGGCCCCCCTGAGACTCCTGAGAATACCCCCCTCCTCCTCCACCCCTCCCTGCATTTGAAGCGTGATGGGTCGCTTCGTGACGCCGCAGCAGACCAACCGGGCAGGTAAACGCAGCAGGTAAGCTGTGGAGACGCAGGGTTGAACTCGTCTCAGGAGGATTTACCTTGGCAAGGAGTTCACAGGCTGCACCGCTTGTCTGTCAACAACTGCTGCTGTTTTATTTTTACTGCTTGTGTCTGCCGTGTGTGTGTGTGTGTGTGTGTGTAGGTTGGGAGATTATGGGCGGTTGTTGACAACTTTTTTTACAGTCCGTGTAAATTTAGGGGAAAATTGTGGCCAAGCTTGACTGGCGGTAAATGTTTAATTTCTCCATTTTAAAAGCGCCGTTTGATTTCTCTCTCTCTCTCTCTCTCTCTCTCTCTCTCTCTCTCTCTCTCTCACACACACACACACACACACACACACACACAGTAGAGCAGAGGTTTTATACTTTGTGGGTACCAGTGATGCATGAACTCAGTCCACTCATCTGCTGTTGAGTGACCTACTGCTGGCAAGGCTGTGGTGTTTATGACAGATTATAGAGGACATCATGAATGACAGACAGACGTCGCCTCTAGCTCTAGAGCTCACATCTATCTATCTATCTATCTATCTATCTATCTATCTATCTATCTATCTATCTATCTATCTATCTATCTATCTATCTATCTATCTATCTATCTATCTATCTATCTATCTATCTATCTATCTATCTATGTCAACCTGTCTGTTGCTGTATGCTTTCTTGATTGCATTGCTTCCATTATTTGGCACTGTTGGACGGAAAAAAAGGGTTCAACTCATCAACTTTGGTCTATTTACAGACAAAAACAACATTAAAATAACCAATTACATCTCGATACAGCCTGATTAAGCCTAATTGTTTCGAAATTGCAATTTATTAATGCACCCTTAGATGTTTTTTTTGATATATATTTCTAGGGAAGAAAATGAGAAGACTGAGAGGAAGGACGGATCATAAAGGCAACCTAATCCTATATAGCTCAACTACCTCTGGGCATTTATGGTTTGGCTGTCACCTACTTGGCACCTGCCTCTAAATAACCAGGTAACACCAATTATGTTAAAGGATGATGGATACTAAAAACCCACAGGCCAAATTGAAGCCGCAGTGTTACTTTTACCACTGCCGGTTTTTACTGTAAGTTCACTGTATTTTACGGATCAGTGTGAAAAAAGGAGAAAGGTCCAATAACCTGTAAAGATCAGTGCGCGCTTCCTCCGCTGTCACCGCGCCGAGATGAGAAAAGAGCCCCTGAAGTTTATTTATTACAGTGGGTTATGCAAATGTATGCGCTTTCTTTTTAGTCTCTCTCTGCTTAGTGTGTGTGTGTGTGTGTGTGTGTGTGTGTGTGTGTGTGTGTGTGTGTGTGTGTGTGTGTGTGTGTGTGTGTGTGTGAGAGAGAGAGAGAGACACACACACACAGAGAGAGAGAGAGTCATTGCACATGAAAACGGCATCAAATGATCCATGAAGAGTCAAAAGAAGACAAAGAAAGTTTTGGTTTTGTACCACTTGAGTCGAACAGTGCCGGTATTTGTGTGTGTGTGTGTGTGTGTGTGTGTGTGTGTGTGTGTGTGTGTGTGTGTGTGTGTGTGTGTGTGTGTGTGTGTGTGTAGGCGGGTTGAGAGAGACAGCACCACTGCCGGACAAGAGAGAGAGAGAGAGAGAGGGGGGGAGAGAGAGAGAGAGAGAGAGAGAGAGAGAGAGAGAGAGAGAGATTGCACTACGCGAGAGAGTGTGAGACAACAGTGCTGGTTGGAAATATGCGAGGCGGATGTTTCTTGTGTGAGCAGCAGACACACCGCCGTGCGTCTTTGCGCTCAGAGATCATCCAGTCCTGATCCCCTCACCGCTTCCCTCTCTCGTTTATCCCACAGCAGCCTCCTCCTCACCTGCGAAGCCACAGCGGAGCTCCTCAGCGGACACTTTGCTGCCTGACGGACACCGGGACAGACCCACAGACACCACCAGTGTACTTTTACCATGGAGGAGAGCCGGGCAGAGTAACTTACAGCAGCCTGCATCCAGACCGTCGGAGAGGAGAGCGATCTTCACAATGACCCGTTAAATTCCTGCCGTCGATGCTTTCTTTGGAGAGTGGATTGACCATCTCCTAACAGCAGAGGAGAGGAGCAGAGAGGCCTTTATTCGTTTATTTCAGTTTTCAGATGGACCGAGTGCCCTCGGCACTGGCCGCTAAGATGCGCTGGATCACGCTGGTGCTTGCCGGCTTGACTTTCTGGGGCAAAGTGACTATTTGTAACTGTTTCGACTACGAGGAGCCAGACTATGATTATTATGAAGAGGAGAGAGCGGAGACCATTGACTACAAAGACCCATGCAAAGCTGGTGAGTCCTGTATTTACTCTGTTTTAGTTTTTAACCATGAAATGACATTGAAAATAAGTATTCTGGCGCGTCTGGTAACGGAGATCCTACCCCCCCTGGAGCGCGCTGGCTCCGAGGTGGCACGTGTATCTGTGTATGAGAGATGACAGCGTGTGTGTGTGTGTGTGTGTGTGTGTGTGTGTGTGTATGTGTGTGTTTGCGCTCTGGTCCAGATGCCCCTCTATCCCCACCCTTCCTAACCGATAAGTCAGTATCGGTGGTGATCCCGCTGGGTGGATGCCACGTGCAGCCCGGTGACGGTCTTGCTAAGCCCGTGTCCTCCCGCGGTGCACGCACACACATTCCGCGCGTGCATCACCTGTAGGCAGAACCGTTGTCCTGATTGTGGCCGAAATGTTGGTGCATGTATGGACAGGCTGTGCGTGTGAGTTTGTGTGTGCGTCCAGATGTGAAATCAACCATCAAGGAAGATGAGAAACAGCTGGACGCAGCTGTACCAAAACAGGCGCTGATGCACGCTCTCTCTCTCTCTCTCTCTCTCTCTCTCTCTCTCTCTCTCTCTCACACACACACACACACACACACACACACACACACACACACACACACACACACACTGTGATAAAATGTTTTAATGACAGTCTGGGAGCTGCTGTGGAACAACACTATAACAATGTCTGGTCTCATAAGACAGTAGATGGTTATGAAAGAAGGAACATCTATACAACCTAATTATAAATTAATGCATCGACTGTGTCAACAAATTGTTGTCACTGATTTAAAGTTGACCTTTATATATCAAAAAATATATATTTTTTACCTCCATATATTATAAGTCTTTTATAGGTGTGTGTGTGTGTCATGCGTAATGTCTGTGTGCTCCACCCAAATGATGTGGTCGACACAAAGTCTGGAGATTCACTTAAGATTTTATGCAGTCCCTGTATTATACTAAGATCTCTGTCTTTCCTTTCTTTCTTTTACTACATATTGTCATCTATGTATAGTTTTTGCTGGCGTCCAGTTCATCTATGTATTATAGTCTTCATGTGGCTGGTTGTGATGATACCTGCGTTTCAGTAATGATTCTGGCACAGTAGTTTTTTTTCTCCACTATCCTCAATCTGCACCTTAGTTTGAGAAATACAGACCTTTTTTACATCGTTTTTCATTTACAAAGGATGATAAACTTCCGAGTGCACGTTATATAACTTTGCCTACAAACATCTACATCTAGAATCACAATTAAATGTTGTGATTTCCAGATGGAGGAAATATATGATCAGACAATAAACAAAAAAAAAGACCTCAACAGGCATCCAAGGCCAACTTTCGATACAGTTTTTGAGTGTGTTCAGGCGTTCATGTGTGTGTCAGTCTTCTTTTAACATAAATAACAGTCTGTTTTACCATCACCATCTATCCAGACCATACAAAGCTCGGTGATTGGTCAGGATTTTTACCCTCCTTCAGCACCAGCATCATCCCTACAGAGCAGGTGGAGGAATCTGAATCTCTCCTCTCCTCTTCTGTTTGTGCAAAGTTGCAAGAGAGATGTTGTAAGACCAGTGAGCATCCTCTTCTTTCAGATTCTTGTTGTGGTTACACCCATCTGACTGCACGTTTATGTGCAGATATGTTTGTGTACTCGTACATATGTCCGTATGGGCTTTAATGGCACTCCGCAGCCTTAATGTTGTCTGTGATGACACATTGGCCTGATAAGAACTCCACCCAGAGTGCCGAGCGTCCACACACAGACCGACACACATTCCTCACATACCAAATATACAAACCTTACAACCCTGGACACTGGCCAGTGTGTGTGTGTGTGTCTTTGTGTGGGTCTTGGTGTGTATGTTTTTTCATGTGCATGTTACACTGATCTCTGTGTGGGTGATTTTATGTTGATACTGCAATCCCATGACTCTGTGGTTTTTAGTTATGCTCAGACCCTTACCGTGTGTGTGTGTTTCGATGTTAGCCCGGCAGGTTAGAGGGAGACAGTCAGTCTACATATGTCTGAGTAACTGAGCGACTCTTGTAGGTTAAAATAACTGAGTGAGAAAACATAAGCAATGTTTTTATTTGCTGGAAATATCAGTGTACATAAAGAATGCATTCATACTCAAATGAGTAGATTCCTCAAAGGATTCGGGCAGTTTCTTCCCATATAGTAAAATCATATGTTCACGTTTTACTGAATCTTTTAATGTTATTTTTAAGGTGTTGTTTTGCCTTTATTAGATAGTCGACTGTAGAGAGCACCCAGTAATGCAGGGAAAGAGAGGGGAGGGGGGCAACATGCGGCAAAGGTCCCTGCCTGGACTTGAACAGAGAGCATCACATTTACATAGTATGCATGTTGTGTTGAGATTAAATGCAAATTAAATGCCGGTCTCACATTATACATGCCAATTCAACCTATAGACAGTGTGAACATTTGCTGTAGCTACCTAACAGCGTGCACATACATAGATGAGTGGCAGATTTCAAAACATTTATTCTAACTCTCTCCACTTTGCTCCTGTCTCTGTACATTGATTGAGCCATATGCCTCAGGATAACCTTCAATGGTTTGCTTAAATTGAAACATTTCCAGATAAAGTGTATATGTCCTCATGGAAGTTAACACCACCTCGATCAAAGCTACATCGGTTTGCGTCCTTACATTGACTTTTTATGCATTCGTGCCATCTTTGATTTTTGTGTTCAGTCTGAATCCACCAGCAGACTTGTATCCTTCTCTTTCACTTACGTTCTCAAAGGTAATTGTATTGCATATAATCCGTATGTGCATAGTGAGAGGACTAGTGCTGAAAAGGTTCATAGATTATCTTGATTACTTCATTGACAGAAAATGGCTGTTATGGAGTTTTCGGGTGAATCACAGGGTCCTTATCTGCAGATGTTTATTTTTACATTGATGTTGAAAGTTCAGGTTCAAAGTTTATTCTTGACCTTGGAACCAAATTAATCAACAACAATTTTGATAAGCAATTAGGTCAGTTAGAGTAAATCTTTACGCATACTTATTGAGGTACGTTATTCAAGTAGATTGAGCAAAAATGCCAAACATTCACATATTTTGGCTTATTTCTCTGTTTTAAATCATTGTAAAATAAATATCTCTATGAACTTTTTCCATTTATATACTCACATGATTCACATATCGATGCACAGCAGTTCACTAGATACATAAATACTGTATACATGATACTGTAAATACGAATCAAATCATTCTTATATGCCATCTTGTGCTAATTATCCAGTTGTACAATCAGATCTCCAAAACCTTCCTACTGCCCCCACCCAAAGGGGAAGAAATAATAAAATAAATCAATGTGTATATTCCCAACATCTACATAAACATACTCACACATAAACCTCTAACATATACTGTATACATGTGCACATATATATATGCACAAATGCCACAATTGGAGTCTACACTTGCATGGATATTCACAGGTTTACAGAATCAGGGGAGATACTACAAAAAATTACCCCTTTTTTGCGTAAATCCATCCATAAATTGAAAACATAATATCAGATTTATTGATAATAAAGACCTGTGTTGGTGTAAGTGTGTAAAGAGTTGGTGGCTGTGTCTTTCTGTGTGTGTGTATATGTGTGTGCAGCTTGTAAGAAGTGGAAGCGCAGCTCATTCCAGGCCTGACCCTGTGGCATCGGTCTGAGTGGTTGGTATTCCGCCTCCTGTTTTTGCTGGGAAAACACAAGGGGAATATTTGGCTGTCTGCTTATCTCCTCCGAGTCCCGCACTGGTAGACAGGAGAACACACACTTCCAGGCCTTTGTGAAGTGATTTCCCCACGCGAACGCACACACGCACACAGATGCACACACTCGACACACACACACGCAGAGCTCCCTCCATTCACCCGCGCTTATCTCTTCCTGGTTGTCTGCATCCTGCTACTCAGCTGGAGATGACACACGGGCGCGCACGCACACACACACTCATAAGGATGTGCACGAGCTCCCTACGCTCGCTCAAGAGTCATTCATGCTTCCTTCCAAATCACTGTTCTCATAAAATGCTCACACAAACGGAGTGAAAGCTAAACAAACCACGATGTCCGAATGAAGCTGTGGGTCATTTCTTCAGGAGTGACCCAAGAGACCAACTGCCTGTTCTCTTCTCTGTCTGTGTGCAGCTATATAGTACAATACATAATGTACATTCCCTCATGGGTGTGCATCCCTCAGATGTTACAGTACAGGATTAACAATAATAGTTCATGCTGCAACAAGGGTGGGAACAATTTGACCAAAAAAAACTGCTCTCAAAGAAGATGTTAAAATAGAGAATAGTGGTTTTGTTCCCTTCATCGTGCACAAACATGAGCCATTTAAATTAGTGCATTTAGAAGCAACAGCAAGAAGAAGCTTTAACTTGACTGCATTACATTTTCTCCAAATCCTGGAGTGAGGAATTATTCTTTTCTGTCTCTACACAGTATCAGGTGAAAGAGTAGATAGTGATTTAGTGTCGACTTCAGGAGCACTTAACTAACATGAATAGTTACATCACAGTTTCCAATGCGGAGCTAGAACTAGGATCTTCCACTTGAGGGGCAGTCTCCACCCTGCTGCCTACCTGAAGTGGTTTCATGTTGGCTGAATCTCATTCTGATGTTCAGAAGACCAGCTGCTAGATATTAGTGAAGTGGGTAGAGATATAGTGCTCATGTTATACATGATGTCACTGTTGTTGTCTGGTTTTTTTACGGTTGCACAGAAGGAAAGCACATGTTGGCAATTTAGTTGTTTTCCAGTAACTCGCAGAGTTTGACGTCATTTGTATCCAAACATTTTCAGTCTTGTCACTAGTCCATTGGATTGTCTCCGACCTTTTGTGGGGTCTGTCTTTTGTGTTATGTAGGGTACCACATTAGAAATGTAGATGGGAATGGAAAAATGGGGAAAAAAACGTCCTCAGTTTTGCAAATATTTGCAATACATTTGGATGCAAACAC